ACCACCCTACTACTACAAGTCTCCTCCTCCACCATCACCTTCACCACCCCCACCTTACTACTACAAGTCGCCTCCACCACCGTCACCTTCTCCACCACCTCCCTACTACTATCACTCTCCACCTCCACCCGTAAAGTCTCCTCCTCCTCCTTATTACTACAGCTCACCTCCTCCACCACTGAAATCACCTCCTCCACCGGCATACATTTACGCTTCACCACCACCACCAGTCCACTACTAAAAGTCTTTAAGAGTTTAGTCATTCTCCACAATCAATCAAGTAAGTAGTTGTTTAATTTGTAATTTTTCATATGATACTCAACCTTTTTTGCTTCGTTTGTTTGAATAAGTCTCTAATCTTCTATTTGGTTGTTTCTTTTCAGATATTAGTTTGAAACACAAAATAAATGATGGATTCTTGAGGAATAGAATCAAACGTCGATGGTACAAAGCAATTAATTTATGGAATAAGATGTACAATCTTTTAATTGAAGGGTTGATTCTTCATGACATGGACATATTTGATTCTACTTCTCTTTCAGTCTTCTTGCACATTGTTCTCTTAGTGCGTTCACATGAACGTATCTAGGCTTTGATGCTTCTTAGAGCTTGTTTCTTTGTAACTTATTGTTGTATTGAGGATATTGTCCTCGTGTTATCCATTTCCTATCAATTATTATTGAATGTTGTTCTTGTAATACCTTTGTGTACTTTGTGCACAAATCACTACGAAGATCAATTTCAAGGAAACAAATTTGATACATGTAGTATTTTCTTGATTTTCAATTCCCCGCCTTCCATTGTGTATGACTATTCTATTCATTGGATACCTTCTACCTCCCGCCGGCTACAGGTACACTAGATTACTCTATCCTAGCACACACAAGAAGAAGTCTCCGAGTGTGATTATATCATCTAGTATTTGAACCTAGGACCTATTGATTATCAACCTACTTCATTGACCACTAGGTCGATCACGTTAGCTACCTATGAAACACTAATCAACACGCGTACCATTACTTCATTTACTCTTTTTCTCCTCCAATTCAACAACAACAACAAAAATGATCTATATAATACCAATTATAGTCTACCCTAAATAAGTATCTGAAAACAGCTTAATTAACAATTATAAGTTCTAATAGGGAAATTTAGCAACTTTACCTCTTTTTGCATAATTGGTGCTATCTTTGCTCCTTCTCATTTGCCCTAATTTGGAACCCTAAATTACCTGCAAATTGAACAGGTTAATGAGTAAAATCGTTTTGGTTTTATTTTTCCATCAAATTAAATTAATGAAATGAAAAATATTTATATTTGTTCATATTTATTGTTTAATTATGATAAAGTCATGTAATTTTTATCTATTTATAGTATTTTGGTTATTTAGATAAGCGTTTATTCCTTAGACGCAAGTAAATACCATAAATAATCGTCAATTATACAAATGGAAATAATCATATAATAGTACTATGAATGTTTTTTTATTTATTTATATGCGAAGTGCGTTGAAATTTACCTAGCTAAAATGGAACGAAATTTAAACTTTTCAAAATAAGTTATTAAAGATGTATGTGAAACACGTCTTAACATATACAAGATCGATACTTATTTCTGTGTTATAACTAGAAAAGTTATTTTAAATAGATTCAACTTTAAAAAAATATTATTTAAAGAATTTTTTTTTAAAAAAAAACATGACAATGAAATAGCAAAATAAAAAATTAAAAAAGTATATTTATTAACTAAATAAACTTCTATTTTTTCCAATAAAATACTACTAATTATTATTATTTATTATTATTAACCTTTATCTTCAATCACATCTTAAAAATGATATATATATATATATGCAACCAAATGCTAGAGCACTTTTGGTTTGTTTCTAAAAAAAAGACAAAAATGTTTGGTTAGTGATAAATGTTAAATTTGGAGGAAAAAAAAGGTAGTTAATATGTAATTTTCTGCAATTAATACTTTTGGGTCTCACAGTTGTAAGTAATCTCTGATTAAATGTAGATGCTTCCACACTGCTATTTTATTTAATTAATAATTAAATTATAAAGTTAAATCAATTTAATAATTTTAAATAACAAAATCATTAAAGGATAAAAAAAATTCTATTGAATATTTGATATTTATATTTAAGCTTTCAATTAATTTAATTTTAATTACGTAAAATCAATTATATAAGAACCATTCACAACAAAATGCCGACTATGAAATAATATAAATATGTGATGAGATGTTTGAGATCTCTTTATTATTAATTAAAAGTATATCATTTAAGTTTTCAAGGTAAATTTTTTATTTAAAATATCATCTTTATAAATAAATTATATAATAAATAAATTTAAATTTAATTCAATTTTAACGTAAAACATCGAATATCGAATAAAAATATGTTTAAAATATCATAAAAATTGTTGTGAGTACCAAATATGTTAAAAATGGTGACCTGTCATGTTATGAAATGTCAGCTTTTTTTGCTTTTATTCCAAGTCTAGAATGTTCAAGAATGATTTATTAAATTAAATAAAAAGACAGAGAATCTATTTCCTATATTATAAAAATAAGTAGTAGTAAAAACAAAGATTATATATATATATATATATATATAAAATAAATTTCTTATTCTCATACATTTTCACTTACATTCAGTTAATAATAGTCACATCATCCATAACCTTTGATATATAAAAACAAATAAAGCACCCTTAATTAACTTTTAATGAAAATATAAATATAGTAAAGTTCTTTAGAAAAAACTTTTATTATTGATCTTGATATTATTAATGGATATAAGGGGACAATGTAGTAAAAAAAGCTAAAAAAATTAAATTTATAAAAATATCTTTTTGTTATGATTCTTTTTAAGTTTTATGTAAAAGAAAAGTAGATAACTAATAATCAATAAAGCAAATATTAAATAAAGTTACTTTTTTAGTTGTCATAATGCGTTTTTAATAAAAATATTTTTTTATACTCAATGGAGCAAATATAAAATAAAGTTATTTTCTTAATTGTTATGATGTAATTTTTTAATTTTATTAATTTTTTAAATTAAATTAAATTACACTAATTTAATATTTTAGAATAAAAATTTATATTAATATAATAATTTTTTTTTTAAGTATTGCTTCCTTCTTGGTTAATAAAGATAGTCTCTTTCACTTGCACACCCAAAGAAAAAAACTTCACCAAAACCCCAAGAAAATATATAAAAAGAGCAAAAAATCCAATTTTGATCCATACCCAAATCTCAAAAACCACAAATTCATCTTCCCAATTCACTAAATTCTCAATTTTTTCAGTTTTCAAATTTCAAAATTTTCATTTTGAGTGATAAAAATGTCAGCTTTAAAGATGAAAGTGTTAGGATTTATGGTAATAATGCTTTCAATTTCTGCAATTGCAAAAGGGGATGAAAATGAAAATGAAAATGAATCATCATCTAAGCCACCAATATTAGTGAAAATGGTAAAGGGTAAAAAAATGTGTGTTAAAGATTGGGAATGTAATGTATTGTCAAGATTTTGTTGTAATTTGACAATTTCTGATTTTTTTGAAACTTATCAGTTTGAGAATTTGTTTTCAAAGAGGAATTCACCTGTAGCTCATTCTGCTGGTTTTTGGGATTATAAATCTTTTATAATTGCTTCAGCTCTTTTTCAACCTCTTGGTTTTGGTACTACTGGTGGTAAATTTATGCAGATGAAAGAAATTGCTGCTTTTCTTGGTCATGTTGGTAGCAAAACTTCTTGTAAGTTGTTGTTCTGTTCTAAATTTAGCTCTATTATATGGTTGTTTTGTTGTAGGATTGTTGTGATACTATTTGTTGTTACTTGTTCTGTTTGTGAATTAGTTTGGATTCGAGGTTCTGTCGAAAACAACCTCTTTGCTTATCAAGTAGGATGAAGGTCCCACTTTGTGAGATACACTATGTATGTTGTTGTTGTTGACTTGTTGTTTCTCATTGCATGAACAAATGAGTGAAGTTACATATTTTACTCCCTTTGTCCCATTTTACGAGAGATGATTTGATTCGACACGAAGTTTAAGTAAGAAATGAAGACTTTGTATAACTTGTGGTCCAAAATGAATGATACAAATACGTGTGACTGTGAATCATTTCAGTAAAGGTAAAATATGCATTTTATAGTTGTTACTTAATATAGAAATGTGGCATTTTTTTTATAACTGACTAAAAAGGAAAGTAAGTCACATAAATTGAATCGAGAGAGTATGTAATTATTACTAAAACAATATTTCTAATGTAATAAAATATATGCAGACCTTACCGCAAGTTTGAGGTAGAGAGGCTTTTTAAAGATAGACCCTTAGTTCAAGGATGATTAGTATTTGTATATATTTTTGAGTGTTATTATTTGTATTTGTATCTATTTAATTTAATTTATTTGCCGATCTCATCTTGTTTGGGGCTGAGACGTAGTAGTTGTTCTTGTTGTTGTAGGGTGGAGGATTCATATTACTGAATCTTGACTAGTTAGGGATTGTGCCATACTTTGTTGTTGGTGTCTTATTTATTTACTTGTCTCATCTTTTATAGTATGATTTCCCTTTTTCTTGTTGTATCGCTCGGATCCTGCAGGAATTTGTTGCATCCATGTTGGATCTGCAAAAAATGCATAACTTTTGGATGATCCGGGCATGCACCCAGCGACATTTTTGAAGGATATGAGCAACATAGCTTTTTGGTTCTTTCTTGTTACGAAAATGGTGAAAAGATGAATGGAAAAATGATTAGACCACGGAGATATTTGATTTGCTTTAGACTTTGAAAGTAATATTGTAAACATTTCCTTAGAGAACTCAAGGAATTGACAAGTTGTTGAAAAGTTTTGATCTCGTAAGGATTAAACTTTAAGTTGATCAAACATAATAGTACTTAGGAAAGATCAATAGCTTGTATAAAATCATTGATTGAAACTCATCCTGTTTGAGATCAGTTCGGATCTTGAGTCTCGAGGTCTCTAATAGAGAACTTGAGAATCTGGTCCAGTTAACATATGATGAACTAATTATATTGAAGTCTGAGTAATTTAGTTGGCTTGGTCTCGATACTGAGAATCAGAATAAATGGGATACCAATTCTGTTTTGGCTATCTGACTTGTGTAAGCTCCAGTTAAGGCAGTCGCTTATGATTTCGTTCATCGATAATTGATGAGCTTGTTGGTTGATATGTATCTCTATGTGTCCGCGCCTGTGCATATAAGCTCTTTTATAGTGAGACCTTTGGAGATCACTTGTTACTGCCTATCATCATTCGTCAACCAAAACTTAGCACGATCCTCTGGTTTATTCTGCTGTACGTGCTTGTAGTTGAATTGATTTCTCATCACTTAACGTAAACAGGTGGTTACGGAGTTGCCACCGGTGGACCATTGGCTTGGGGCCTTTGCTATAACAAGGAATTGAGTCCTAGCCAAGATTACTGTGATGACTACTTCAAATTAACTTACCCGTGCTCTCCCGGAGTCGAATATTATGGTCGTGGTGCCTTGCCTATCTACTGGTAAATGTTTCATTACCTATATATCTAAGATTATATATTGATTTTTTTCTGCTATGTTGCTTGAACTTCTCAAAAATACCCCGTGTGCGTGTTGGATCGGATCTGATACAAGCAATATAGTTATTTTGTTATCAAAACACCTCTAATTAGGACTGAAAAAATGTTTTTTTTTCCCTTGATACTTCTACTTAGGAACTACAACTACGGAAAAATAGGCGAAGCATTGAAGGTAGATCTGTTGAATCATCCCGAATACATTGAACAAAACGCAACCTTGGCATTCCAAGCTGCAATGTGGCAGTGGATGAACCCAGTAAAAAAGGGACAGCCTTCAGCTCACGATGCCTTCGTTGGCAACTGGAAGCCAACAAAGAATGATACTTTGTCTAAACGAGTCCCCGGTTTTGGCACCACCATGAACATCCTCTATGGTGACAATGTCTGTAACCAAGGTGATATTGACTCCATGAACAACATCATCTCACACTACCTCTATTACCTCGACTTGATGGGCATTGGTCGGGAGGAGGCAGGGCCTCACGAACTACTCACCTGCGCGGAACAAAAACCTTTCAATCCATCTTCCTCCCCTGCTGCTTCTTCTTGATTAACTCATATGGGATTCTAGACATCCTAGCTATGATTGCTGAACATCCAATAAGTGGAGCAAGATAGACGTTGTCGTCCAGCTCCCGGTGTAAACTGTCTGTTTGGGTGTCATATATATA